TGTGAGTTAGAAATCCCTTAACGATGGCGGAAAATTGGCTCTTTGAATAAAGCTGAACCATCGAACTACGGGAACTAAGCCGACAAAAATAAACAGACGGACGATAGTTTGCAAAAAAAAAGCCCAGCCCGATCCGAAAATATAAAATTTATAAAAAATGTTAAGTCCCTTTTCCCCTCAGAGCGCACACAAGCGCAAGAAATATATATGAAGTCGATTTTAATGAAGGCGATATTAATGAAGCCGATAACAAATTATTAAGCCGATAAAGAAGACAATTAAAAAGACAAAAAAATTTAAGTGGAATTTCAACAAATCGAGCTGGTAAAAATACAACCAATGTGAAAAACAAATTTCGATGCAGCAGGACTTTTAGAATCCTAAAAACAACAGCAGTGAAAAATGTTTACTGCTCAAAAGAGCAATTTATAGATGTGGCAACTAAGCCGACAAAACATTTTTGAACCGGAATATTTACCGTTTGAAAAAAAAACGGCTCCAGGTTTGATTCGAACCTAGGATCTCTGCCGTCCCAGGCGTATTCGTTACCACTAGGCTGAATGTGCAAGAGACAATACAAAATTTGAATTCATTATGAACTGAGGTACCATCAGGATTCCAATGCGTCTTGTGGACAAAGTTGTTTACTGGAAACAAAGTCTATTAACCGATTGCAATACCTTTGCTTGTCGCAAGGGTGATTATTCGCAACAATTCAAGCAATGAGACAAAATCAATTATTTTTTCTATTTTTCTTTTTAAAATTTTAGGTTTTAGGAGTGATTTAATTAGAAAACAATTTTTAAGCAGGTGCGCAGACGAAAGCAATGTTGAAAACGCAGCAATGTCAGATAGGAATTTCTTAATGCTCTGCGTAAACTGATCTGAAAACGCAAAAATTCAAACCTATTTTTGCCGTCACTGAGACTTTTCTGGGAACTCAAATAACAACTATTAGGGCTTTAATATGACATCACACTTGACTCACGACAACAATTTCTCAAGGTTGGTGCCCAAAACATTGAGGCAAAGACTGCAGAGCGTTAGGCTATTGATCTGGATGAAGATTCTAAGCAGCTGAAAAAGCAATGCGACTTGATTTCTATTCTCATTCTTGATTTCAAATTTGTTCTGATTTTTTTCCTGTGATATGATCTCGTTTTCTTTGCCACTGCTAAACACGCAACCTTGGTAAAAGCACACATATGTAATCTTGATTGCCTTTCCCTTTAACTCCGGGAATAGTTACGTCAGTGTTTCTCTTCCTTTGAAGGCTTTGATAGTTGCTGGTCAAGATGTAAAGAACAGTTGTACACATCGATCATTTCGGCCTTAGATTTTTTAAACTTGTTTCAAGGCTGACTTCGCACGTTATTTAAGCAATACCCTGAGCTTCTGATTTGGATAGTCTTGATTTTTGAACAATGTCATAATGCTATAAGTGCTAGATCTTCGGGAATTATCAGTTTTCGTAACTCTTAGGACTTTTATTTACTGAAATGCCGATTTAAAGTTAACTTTAAGTGTTTCAACTTCTAGACCTTCGATTTTGTTTGTCGTCACAAATAACTGTTTAAAAATGTGTCGTAACGCTTTAAAATAGAGTTCCTCTTTACTAACGAACAAAAATTAAGATCAGATATATATCATTTAGTAGTATATATCAACTGAGGAAATCATTTCTGGGCACATGTGAAAGCACTACAGATTCGGGCTCTTTTCCAGTTTCCCCCCTTGATTTTTTTCGGAAATTTAATGTATGAAAACTTATTTAGAATGACTTTTCATGTTATGAACTGCATTGAAACGTGTCAGCGTGAACAGGTGAACAAATTTTTACAGTATTTCTCACATGCAAAATGCCGTGTGAACAATTTTTGAACAGCTTTTTTTTCAAATTTTACGAGGGGGGTGGGAAACTGGAAAAGAGCCCAGATTCGGGTCTTTTCTGACAAAAATAAGCTTGGGACAAAAACCTGAACGACAGAACTATCAAAAAAATTAAATTGATAATAAAACATAATTCGTTCATCATTTGATTCCATTCTATTATGATTTAAGTCAACCAGCCCGGAGTCCTAACCCGAAAGTTAACTATGGTAGGTTGACAAATAGTGCATATAACCAGCACTCTTAGTAAGCTATGACTTGCTTACAAGAGTTCGGCTCTTTTTAAGTTCCCCCCTTTGATTTATTCTGAAATTCAATATATGAAAGTCTATTGAAAATTATTTTTTTTTGTTATAAAATACATTAAAACGTGTCAGCGTGAACAGGTGAAGAAATTTAACAAGATTTCTTACATACAAATCGCCATGTGAACTACTTTTAAACAGCTTAAATTCGTAATTTCACGAGGGGGTGGGAAACTGGAAAAGAGCCAAGAGCTCCATGCAAATCTCAGCGCACGTACGATTTGAACTAGCAGTAATATGATTGCTGGGCACCATCACTACAGGAGCGCCACAAAACAACATTTATTAGATCCGATTTCATGAAATTAAACTTCACAAACTCTTTTGACATAGGGTTTCATGTAACTAAAAGCTCCCAAAATTAACAGCGCATATCGAATAAAATTAACAGCGCATATCGATTTTTATTCCATTGAATACTATAACTCAGATTTGCTAGTGTAGTTTTCGAGAAACGTAAGAAAAAAAACGTCAAAATGAGCAAAAAGGGAGAATATTTCACAAACTGGACTTCTCCCAAAAATATGGCAAATTTCCATTAAAATTCAAGACTATTCGCTTCTGCTGGGAAAATTCTCGCAACCTGCTTCTTCGACTGACCCCTTTTTTCCGATTTTGCAGGGTAATTTTTGAGAAAATTCCAACAAACGGTCGCAAAAAATCAAAATTGACTTTCCCGAAGTCTAAAGATTTTTTCTAATAAATAGGGTATGCAGCGAACTTGGCGTATGCAACAAAGAAAATGGCGCACGCAGGTTGTTTCGATTGAACCAAAAATCTTAGTAATGGCAGGGTAGTTTTGAGAAAAGCACACAAGTTTCCAAAAACCGGTCAAATATTCGAATTTGATTTTTGCGAAGACCATAAGTTTTTTCAGAAAATGTGGCCGAAAAGTTGTTACAGGGAGGCTTTCCACAACCTGTTCTTTTAGATCTAATCCTTAATATCAGATTTAGCTGGGGAAATAACTTTTTGTACTACTAAAAACCAGGCGTAGACTCTAATGCCGAGAGAATTTCCATTGAACCTTTAAACTACAAATTGGCAGAGCTGCTTTAGAGACAAGTCGCAAAGATTCCAAAAAAGGGCGTAAGTTTCAAAAAATTGAACTTTTCGAAGGCTATCAATTTTTCCATTAATTCTGCTGGCCAAGGAGTTTATGCAAGGAACATTTCAAAAAACCTTTCTCGAAGGCCCTCACTTAGTTTCTACAAAAAATAAGGCGTAGACGTTTACACCGAGAGGATTTCAGCAACCTTTTCTTTTGATTTAAGGGTATTTTGGAAGTTATTTAACGAAAAATTTGTTTAAAAATACAAAAACGACCGAACTGTCAAAACATGGCCTTTATTCTAGCTATAACTGATTTTCTAATGTTTAGGCCATTGCTACTGTTATAGTGGGATCCCGCTAACTTTGTTTTTTTAATATCAAAGGCGTCATCTCAGATTTGGCAGGGTAGTTTTCAGAAAATTGAAAAAAATGGGTCAAACACTCAACATTGAAAATTTCGAAAGACGTAAGAAGTGGAAAGAGGTAAAAAGAGAGAAGTGTCAATATGCAAGCACACATGGTATTAGTCATTTTTTCAATGATACTATTAGAAAATTTGTCTAATTTTTATTGATAGAACATTTAATCCCAGTTTTAGAAGGGTATTTTGCAAAAAAAAAACTTGAAACCAAAAACGCCCAAACTGTCTAAAAAAGGCCTTTATTCAAAGTATAACTGTCTTTCTGATAATTAAAGCGTTACTGGTAAAAGAGAAATCCCGCTACTTACTTTTTTTATCGAACCCGGAAGCTCAGATTTGGCAGGTTAGTTTTTAGAAAACAAAAATGTGTCAAACACTCACTTTTGAAACTTTCGCAAGACTTAAAAAGCGGAGTGAGGTAAAAATACAGAAAGGTGAATATGCAGGCGCATAAAGAGTAGAAGGTTTCTTTTCCATTGGCCCCACTTTTTAGAGAGTAGGTAGAGAATTTTTTGAGAAAAACTATTGCGATATTTACAGTCATCCAAAAAAAATTACGTAAAATTATAAAACTAAATCCGGTAATTATTCATAACACCCGTTTCTATCAGAGCGAAATTTTTTTTCATTTTTGTGGAACCCGTGTATTCTCTTTTTGACTTAATTCAGTTATAATTATTACTTATCCTAGGTTTGAAAATTTTTTGTTAATGAAACTTTTTTCATGAAAAACTGAATAAATTTGAAAAATCTGGTTCTATAAGCATTTTTTTACTGTGCTGGGAAATCCAAAAGATAAAATCTATTCATAAAAGTCAACCAACTTTTTGTCCAATTTGCACAAATGTTATAGGAGAGCGTAATTGGCCTTTTTTTAGCAAGAGATTTGAATTAAATTCAAAAATGAACAAATTAAACCTCAAACCCAAAAATCAAACCTAACTGCAAAACATAGTTAACTGACAGTTGAAAAAGAGTAATAAAAGCAAGTAAACAGAAAAAAACCGACTTTCTTGAAAAAATCTTAAGTTTCAAAGAAAAAAAAATAGATGCCCTATAAGCTCTTTGAATTTCTAGAACAAAGTTTTTATTCAGCTGGATATCTAAAAATTAAATTCCACTTTCGAAAATAGAAATAGATCACGTTTTTTCGCGCCATTTACACGTTCGTATTTAGAGCGTGCTATTTACATAACTTTCAGCAGATGCATATTAATTGAACTGAAAAGTGCATAGATACCTAAGTGCATTGATAAATGCATTAATATGTATGAATGCACATCTGTAGTTATTAGAGCATTTTAAGACTTTTTCCTGAACAAGAAAAAACAAAAATCACCAAGATTTATATAAAGAGTTTTCACTAGGTTTATTGCCCTTAAAAACACTCGACCAGCATAACTCAGTTAACTTAGCTTATGGTAACCTAAGACTTCTGCCGCTATCATCTGTGTTGGTCTTCATTTCTACAGTAAAGACAATGGTTCAAACCATGAATCGAGTGAATAGCGATTGGTGTAAATAGTATTGCCGAAGTTTTTATCTACCACACATAACAGTCAAAAAACCCTGAACAAATTTAACAAAATTCAGTTTTCACACATCGGAACACTTGTATCACTTTCTGCAAATTTAGTCACTTTCGGTAAAACGAGGTCAATATCATCAGAACCCTTTTCGGTCGTTGAACTTTCTTTTCTCTTTTTTGACCTCATCGAGTGCTCCTCTCTGTCACTTTCGGAAGATATACTTCTCTCATTGGCCAAACTCTCCACTTCTTCCTGATTGGACTTGACTATCTTCACCACAGGAGACTGTTCCCAGTCCGATCCCTTTCCATCATTTGTCCTTACAATTGGGAACTTAGACGTATCGAAGCCTAACATTGCACTCACTGAAGATGATTCTTCGGGTTCTGAAAATACAAGCATTTCATGCGAAATAATTACGAGCCAAAAAAAAACAAATTAATTAATTTGTTGTAAAGTAACTTCGACTGTGAATGTTTAAACTTTCCAAAGTTCTACTTCAAGACAACTGTTTAAAAATAACTGATTTACGTTAAACTTTTCTGTCCAATGATTTTACCGTGATTTTTTAGTGACGCGCGTATGACTTCAGAAGACAGCTTTCCAGAAATATTGGGTTGATCTTACATTGAACCAGGGGCGGACTTAGGGGGGGGGGATCCCCCCCCCCTCATGGATTCGACCCCCTGCCGACCCAAAGGGTCCCCACTTAATTATTTTCTAAGAAGTCCATTTTTGGCCAAGCGACCCTACAAACTTTCTAAAGGCGCCTTTGGGTGGGCTTTAAGGGGGAGCGCGCGCCGAAAAAAAAGCGATTTTTTGGTCAAATTTTCCAAAAAGTGCCTAAAGACGCCATTTTTGGACTGTTTTTTTTTTCAAAATTTTGCCAGCGGCGCAGAAAATTTGGGCAAAACAGGGACTAAACCGTGCTTAAGAGAGCTCGAAAGATCAATTCTGTCGGAGAAAAAAAAGGTCAACAAAATTTTCGAAATTTTTAGAAAATCCCCCCCCCCCCCCCCTCGAGAAAATTCTAAATTCGCCCTTGCATTGAACTATCATTTTATGATTTTCTACCAAAACTAAAAACTCATTACAATTCAATCACAAAGCTCTTCAGTAACAGTTGAAAACATAATTCATAGTTAGCGATAACTTACACGAAGAACCGCAAGGTATGCTACAAAATTTTACCATTATTTAGATCAACGTTTACAGCTTTCGTTAAAAAATATCACAACTTGTTTTCGAAGTAGAGTAAAAATAGATAGGAGTTCAAGAGCCTCGCCTTCAAATACAAAAATGGATCTCGGAAATCAGAGACTAACCTGCTTTTTTCTCAATTTCTTTGGCTGGACAATGTTTCTTGTGTCGCCAGAGACTTCGCTGGTGTTTCATTCTCTTCTGACATAGTTCACACTGGAATTGGTATTCTTCGCTCTCATTTCTCCCGCTTCTGTCCAGCTATGCAGCACAAAAACAATATCTTTTTTCACAAAGTGTGAACAAAGCACTTTTTCACAGAAAACGATTTACTTTAAAAAAAATCAAGTTTTTACTAAATAAAGCGTTTTGACCCGTTCTTTTTTTCAAAAAGCTGTTTAAAATTTTCTTTTTCTCTTTTGAATAAGTTAAGTATACTCAAAAGAAGCAACCTCTAGTTTTTGAATTCTTCACGTTTCTATTCTGACTTCTAGGAGGCAAAGAATTTAATTTTCTCCTCTTTTCTCTTCGATCCACCCTTGGTCACAGCTCGTTGAAAGTATCGAGAAGCATTTCGACTTTTTTACCATTTCGACCCATCACCATCAAAAAATCGTTTTCTCAAATGAGTAATTGATTTTACAGGGTTGTAGCAGTTTTAAATTGGAGCAGTTTTAGACTCCAAAATGAGCAGTTTTAGGCAGAATACGATATTTCCAGCTAAGTGCGAATCTGAAGGGTAAATTTTATTAATTATTTTAAGGAGTGCATAATTGGGTGTCATTTTTCAAATTATTGTTTCGACTTGGAAAAACTTTGCTACGTATGGGCTTCGACCCTGCGACCTCGACAATTTGAGTCTCACGTCTGCCCTCTCAAACACGAACGCTAAACAACTGTCAAACACTCGTCACAAATAAAGCAACTATATATGATTTCAAATTGCCAATTCTAAGCAACAAAAGTGGCACCAAATACAAAAAGACACAAATTTGCAAGTAATAGTTTAGAATATAACAACTGAAGGTATCCACACTAATTTTGCGTGTAAAAAATTGGAAAGCATAAAACCAGATTATGTAGATATATTGAGTTAGAAAATTTCTGAAATTAAAATTTTTGATTGTTATGTTGTTTGAAACGATGACAGGACAAAATATCCCATACGAAAATATCCCATACGAAAATATCCCATTACAAAATATCTCATACCAAAATATCCCAATGGACACGATAGCCCATGCCAATATAGCCCATACCAATATAGCCCACACCAATATAGCCCACACCAATTAAAATATCCCATAGAAGATTAAAATTAAATTTATGTCATAGATTACCAAAGATTGGTGCATATCTCTATATTGCAATTAAAAAGAGACTTAATTCAACTGCCTCAATTATTTGGAGACGCCATATAGAGATAATGTAATGGTAAAAGACTCTTTTCTAGGGATTAAATTTAGTTTTTCAACCTGCTAATGGAGTCATAATTGAGAAAATTCTGATAATGAAGCACAACGCAAAGACAAATCATTACACACATAGCTTCAATACAATGAAAAGCGATATGACAGAAATTATCTACGGTAAAACTCAACACGGCAAAGCGTTGCTTATCTTGCACGGACATGAATTCACTAAAAAGCGAGACACCAAATCTACCACTCACTGGCGTTGTGCAAAACGGCGTTCACATAAATGCTCAATGACTCTAATAACTTGCGACGAAACCATTATTTCTTTCAATCACGAGCACAGCCATGAGTTTAACCCCGATCGCGTAGAAGCAAGGCAGCTAGTTTCAGTTGAAAGAAACAGCAAAATTGCAAATCAATCCTGTAAACAACCAGTTGATAGCAGCTAGCCTCAAGACTGTGAACAAAAATCCGGCAATTCAGCTGTCACTCCCTTCACATGTAGCTCTGACACGATCCCTCAATAGAAATAAAATGCAAGACCCACTCGAAGTGATTTCATCGACCGACCGTCACTTCGACTTTCCCGAGAAATATTTACCTTTTTGTCTACATGATAGCGGAAAAGAAGACAGTGAGCGATGCCTTATTCTCGGGGACATGGAAAATTTAAATGCTCTTCGCATTCTTAGCAAAGTTTGGCTTTGTGATGGAACTTTTAAGATTTGTCCGTCTCACTTTATCAATTGTACACAGTACATATCCAGATTGGCGGTTTTTATCCCCCCTGCGTTTACGTTTTGCTTAGCAACAAAAAGGAGTCCACACACAACAGGTTTCTTGAAGCACTGATTAGCCTTATTGGAGACGTCGTACCCGAAAAAATTCTCTCCTTGACTTCGAACCAGCTGCCTTGAATGCATTTCCGTCCCTATATAAAACTGAAATCAAAGGTTGCTACTTTCATTTATGTCAATGCTTCCATCGCAAGCTTTCAGAGTTAGGCCTGAAAAAAACCTATGAAAACAACGCTAAGCTAGACTTAACCTTAAAAATGATCCCACCTTTAAGCTTTGTTCCTCTCTCAGATATCGAATCTGCGTTTACTCTAGTGATACACGAAAATTGCCAAACTGCCAATCAGTTTGACATTCCAACTGAAATCCTCGAAAAATTGACGAGCTCGCATCCTATTTCCAGAGGACTTATATAAAAGGAGAAACAATTGGTCGTCAACAGCGTGATCCTTTGTTCCCCCCAGCTTTATGGAATCATTACGACAACGCGGCGGCTGGTCTCATTCGAACAACTAATGCAGTTGAAGGCTGGCATAACGGCGTTATGTCGCTTTTCCAGGGTAGCCATCCCTCAATTCATACGTTTTTAGAACAAATTCAGCTTGATTCTTATAACCAGAAAATCAATAATCTGAAAGCAACAAGCGGCACTACCAATCAAACCCGTAAAAAGTACCAAGAGCTCAATAAAAAAGTCAGAATGATAACTAACTCTTAAAAAAACTCAGATATAGTAAATTATGTTCAAGCTCTGGCACATTTAACACTCTCCTAGATTTCATTTTATTAAATTGTCGACATAATTTTTTCAAATTGTCGGCATTTTGTTGCATTTTTATTGATTTTCCAAAAATCATGAAGTTTTTCGCTTTATAGCTATGGTAGAGGTACCATTTTTTGAGAGGTGATAGAGACCAATACAACAAAAATTTTGCTTTTCTCTCAACCCGCCCCCATACCGGTTACCCAGAACAGGGGGGTTTTAGGGGTTTTGGGGACAATTTTTATCGATTCCGAACTAAAACGTTTGATCTACCGTGAATCGATCATTTGATCTTTTGACTAAGAGTCATATTCTTTCATAATATTGCCAAGTGAGATTAAAAAACATATCTTTATGCTTTGATAGTTCAAAAGATTGGTAGACTTAAGACGTGCGTTGAAACTTTCACGCTTTGAACTGAATTTGATTTCACGCGCTTTTTCCTTTGATTATTCTATTGTCTGAATTGTCTTATGATATTTAAATTGTTTCGATTCCTCAGATGGGATATTTTAATTTGCGTGGGCTACTTCGTCCTGGGCTATTTTTACGTCTGGGATATTTTTGACTGGGATAACTTCGCCTCGGATAAAAAGGTAAGGATAACTTTGAAACAAATAGCTTTTTCGGTTCATTTGATTAATTTTGAAATGTATCAACTGTGTGAGCTTATAAATATTCGAATGTCGAAGCACACGCTATCAAAAAGCCGTAAAGGTACCCCAAAAGTGACACCAAAATTTTCGACTTAAGTTAGAAAAAAAGAATAGTCGTAGTATAACACTGACGCTCACTAAAGTTCGCTAGTGTAACCAACTTATTTATTTCCCATTGAAGATATCGACTCCCTAAAATCAGATTTCAAAAGATATTTGACCTCCGATCATTTCTTGGAAAGTTTGGGAGTTTGAAAATTGCCAATTTGGCCATGCTCTGGAGTAATTTATGCGCGTTTTGTAGATTTCATCCATAATCCTGAAAGCGTAACGAAAATTATATATGCGTGGCAAAATATCTTGCACAAAAAAGCTTTCCAAATTGAATTGAGGCTAGCTAATGGCGTATTAATTTCGTACGACTCAAATTTTCACACTTGTTTACGACTCAAATTTTGGACTATATCATAAGATATAGTCCAAAATTTATAGTTTTTCAATATTTTCTTTTCCCATTAACTATTCGATTTGGATAAAGGGACAGTCGGAACATTCAGGGCTTTGCCCCGATTTACGAGCAGCCTTGTTACGTTGTAAATTTCAGATAATTTGTTGTCACCTGTGCTAAAATGGCCTCTTTGATGCTCATTTGACTCGCACAAGGATCTACTTCATCTTCAACTGTCTTCGCAAAACACACGGCCAAATGCTTCACCACATTGTGTGCATGTAGAAACTCCTTGTTACAATTCACACACGTGTAATCTCTCTCACAATTGTGGACTGTTTTCAAGTGTGAGTTGAGGTTGCTTTTCTTCGAAAACTGCTTCTTGCATATTGCACATGTTAGTTTGGAGATACTGGCACATGTTTTCAGATGTTCCTTCATTGAGTCTCTGGTTTCGAACCTCTTCCTACACGCCTCGCATTTCACTCGTTTCCCATTCGTCTTGTGTGTCAGTGCTCTGTGCTTTCTCAAGTCCGACCACGTTTTGTATGTTAAGTCGCACACTTCGCATTTGTACCCGTTGTGAATTTTCTCGTGTCGCTTCAGGTGAAATCTGTAGTTGAAACTTCGCTTGCATGTCGCACACTCGTATCTTTTGGCGACTAATGAGGAGGCATTAATTCAACTCAAGGGAAAGAACAGCCAAAGGAAAATGGGAAAAGTATGATTAAGGAGCCCAAGAAAAACAAAAAACTGGCTTTTATTGAAAGTTTTTGTATTTTTTCACAACTACACTGCTGCTGATTTCCCAAAAATCGATTTCAGAACAAACAATACTTCTATGCTCTACTTAAATTTTAAAAATGGTTTCTACTTCCCTCTAACTATATAGATGCAAAATGGTTTTCAAGGGATTTTATTTCATATCACTTCCAACCATAAATTTCCGCAAAAACTGCTTCGAAGGCATCAAATGTAAACTGAAATGTGAGCATAGTACACCTTAGAAAAACGCAACTCTGCACTTGGGTTCAATGTTTTAATACAAATGGTCCATTATCAAGAGGAACAAAACAAATTTGTTCTTTTTGGTGCATCTTAATTGCTCAAAAAAACGAAAACAAATAACCTATATAATACAAACTTTTGTAACTTAATTCAAAAACACTTGATTTTTTTAAAAAAAAGAATAGGCTTAAAAATGAACTAATGCGTGCCGGTTAGATTGTGATGAGTGTCTTTGAGATGTTCTCTGAGTTGTCCCTTCTTCTTGAAAGTGCATTCACATCCCTTTTCCGTGCAGCGGATGACTTTTACACTGGCAGTAGGAGTAGTTGTGGGCGAACAGTGCTCGTCTGATTCGGCTTCTGAGGTAGATGATGCCATTGCGATATCTGAAAATTATACTCCATTGTATGTAACATGCTTAAGTAAGCAAACAGCATTCGAATATTTCACATGCAAACGAATCTTTACTTTACAAAACAAGCAAAAAGGAGCTCTTCAATTTTAAGAAAAAACTTTAAAAAACGGAAAATGAATAAGTTATGAAACTGAACTTGTCGACCGAACCCAAAACCTGCAGCTTCAAATGAAAGTCTTACCACTTTGCTAATCATACTTAACGAAGGAAACTTCTTTGCATCATCTAAAAGTAACTACTAGCGAAAATTTTCGAAAATTTCACCCCAAAAATGGATCATTTGCCTTTTTTCAATTAATCAAGAATTACGCGGAAACTACTTGGTTAATTGATTTTAAAAATTATATCACAGGAAGCGTTTTATGCAGCTCAACAAAGTTTAACAAGGGTTAAATCTCCAAAAATTTGCGCAAATTGTTTAAAATTTAGGACCAAGTTAGCATCCTCCCCCTTAAACACGTTTAGGGGGGAGGATGTTAACTTGGTTCTAAACTGGGAATTTTCAGCCAATCAGAATCGAGCATTTTACATGCATCGCTGAGAAAATTTAATTTAATTTAAGCGCTGGAGTGGAGGATCTTAACTTGGTCTATTAGGGGGGAGGATGTTAACTTGATCCAAAATTTATTTTTAAACAGAGATTCTGGGTTTTATATAGTAAAATCACATTTATTGACTATCGAGTGAAAATTTTTTTTCTCTTTTACTGGTTTTTGAAGATTTAATCCTTGTTAAACTTTGTTGATCTGCGTAAGAGGCTTCCTGTGAGATAATTTTCTTATCAATTAACAAAGTAGTTTCAGCGTAATTCTTGATTAATTGAAAAAAACCAAAATGACCCATTTTTGGGGTAAAATTTTTGTTGAGATTTTCGGAGAAAAAATGGCACCATATTAATTCTGGTGAAATTCTAAGCAACTTTTGTTCTCTTCACTTTTTGTCTAATCTCAACCCAATTTGAAAAAAACGCATTTGAAAATTCAAGTTTTGTTCGTTTTGTCCGGATAATTTAAATCGGCACTGTAGTCCATGCTGGATAAAAAACACAAAAGCGAGACTGAACTGCGATACAACGCAAACGCAGCATTTCAAGCAAACAACTAGAAAACGAGAGAGAAAACACTAGAAACACTCGAAAAAACTATTTGAAACACAATCACAAGCATCAAGTAAGCTTTTGGCAGCCCTTACGGAGCGACACTAAGTTGACAAAACTTTGGTAGATGCCTATTGAGTCGAAAACAAAAAGAGCGCCATAAATTGCCATAAGCCAAAACTATTATATTTAAAAAAAATCAATTTCTTATAGATTTGTAGGAAGTTGTTCTCGGGAAAAAGTATAGTTCCCGATTACAAGATACTTGCTCTCGCAAATTCAACAACACCAAGACAACATTGCACATAAATGTTGTTGTACTTGAAAAGATAATGCTTAACAAGCTGTATGCGCAACCATTCGTTCATTCCAGGAAAAGATTGTTACCGAATTGTAAAATCTTCTCAACTATATAAACCCAAAGCAAACTATGTCTTTTATTGCATACAATTTATTTATGCTTTACTCAGAAACGGTCACACAGAAACAAACAATAAAAAATCTGAAAACAAATCAGTTTTTTTTCAATTTTTAATTGCAGAATTTTTTTGAAATTTATGATTCCCAAAATGACATTAAAAATTTCCAACTAAATTTACTCAAGTAAAATTCAAATAAGGCATAAATAAGCTAATGTAAACGGCTCAAATTAAGCATAACTACGTGTGCTCGCTTGTTTTACTCGCTCGAATTTAGACGAAAAATCAAAAATTTCAAATCGGTTTTTCCCGACACTGGGAAAAAAGATGCAAACTAAAACACATCCGACAAAGTTCCTCCCCATTTTTCAAATGGTCGGAACAATAAGATATTTTGAAATATTTATAATGAATAAATTTCTATAAATTGTTATTTTGTGAGACATTTTGGATCAAGAAAAAACCACTGCCAGCTAAGGTCTGACGTCTTAACTTGAGGTCTAAAGCACTATAGTCACTTGAAATTTTCGGAAAAACAAAGAAAACATTCAACTGCATCAAAAGAACTCATTTTTAGCAACTTTAGGTATCTCGTCAGCACTTTAAACAAAATATTCAAAAAAAGAATGTAAGACTGCAAAATTTAATGTTTCACCAATACCAATAATGAGAAAAACATCACTAAGTATAAACAAAAGATAACAGAAAACTGCAACTAATAAAAGCCATATCCTTCTTTTCAAACCTGCCCGATTAAAGCCGAGTCAGTTTCAGAAAATATAAAAAAAAATTAAGAAAAACAAGACTGAAAAATTCATTGAAACCGTTTTGTTATGAACATTCAAAATTAAACAAGTTTTACTAGCTTCTTAAGGAAATTCAGGAAAACGCACGCTCAGCAGAATTTAGTTGAACCGCAAACTTTCCCAAAAACAAAACATTTCAGATGCTCATATACATAAAACAGCAAACTATTCTTAAATGCTATCAAAAGCCAGGTAGATATTCAATCAACAAATGTTCAAAAAACAACAACGTTATTAACGAGAAAACATTTAGTTGCCGATCATAAGTCAAGTGAAAAAAATGCTTTGACTACCACCAGCTGAAGTTAAGTGATTAGGTTAAAGCATTAGCATAACATTCACTTTGAGATTGAGAGCATTCGCGAAAGCGTTTTTTCTTTCGATACCTTGCCATAACAATGATAGCGCAAGAGAACGGGCTTTCACTTATCCTCTAGCCTCAATTACAAAACAGCCTGGTCTAATTTTGCTGCAGTTATATCATAACGTGAAAACCTTACACAAAAAAACCATTCCTCGATTCGGGAAAAATAACTCATCCTAAAAACAATACCAAACCAATTTTTATTGCCTTTTTGATAGAAATTCAGCAATTCGCAGGAGTGAAATTATCATTAGAATTGAATTGAACCAAAAACATGTTGAATTGAACATGATACGAAATTAAAAAAACAGACCGTAAATCAGATTTAAAAGAGTTTTTCCTGAAAAAAAAAACAAAACCATACGACTTATGAAAATATCTTTGCTTTGTTCATTGACACTTAATAAAACTGAAAGACTCGTATTTGTTTTAAGTACCGATTGGTGACTAAGATCTGGTAACTTTCACAAACTCTTTTTGTTCTCGTAGCGTCACTAGTTTCCTATTGTCAGAAAAAAAATTGATTACAACTCCCCTAGAAAAAAGATCACTCCGCTCAATAATTGATGACGACTCAATTCAAAAATCAGAATTTCATGTTCTCTCGGTTAAAAGTGTCACAAAAAAACTCTAGAAACTACTTGATAAACCCAAAATTTCATGCAAGACCTAAAAACAGTGAAATCAGAAGTGAATTAATAAATATTTGACAGCTCCAAATTAAATCAAGTAATTTCTCAGCACCCAAAAAATTAGATCTCCTCAGTCAATTTTTGAAGCTGTGTCGGCTAAAGTGGGTAAATAGTTTGCATCCCCCTCCCCATCGCCGTAGCTTCTCCGATTTAAATAGACCCTTCCGCCCAGAATCGAATTCTCCGCATCCTCTTCGCGTGCATCTAACCTCCGCCTCAACTGCACCTAAACGGACCCAAGTAGAAAATAATTTAGAGAATTCCAATTTAAAATGAACTGTGAATCTGAACATGGTTCAAGAAAGAAATCCATGCAATATCATCTTTCCTAATATCCGTAGATTTTTGTTCAAAACAGGAAACGTTGACTGGACAATTTACAGCAGTCAGCAAAATAATAACAGCTGAAAAATTAAGTCTGATATTGAAAAGTTCACTCTTTCATTTACCACTCAAAACACCAAAAAGATGCAACAGCAAGAAGTCACGAACGCAATGAAATAGAAAACTGACTTGATTTTTGAAAAACTTCAATTTACAAAGAACAAACTTAGACTTACAGCTCTTGAATTTCAAGAACAATTAATGATCGACACTTTTTTGATTAAATAAACCCCATTGAGAAAACTGGATCAATAGGTTAAGTTTATTTTCCGCTGGAAAATCTGAATATTAAATTCCCCTTTCGAAACTAGAAGTCGATCGCGTTTTTCGTGACCTTTACACTTTTGCTGTTCGATAATGGAGTTTAATTTCCTTTCAACAAAGGCAATGAAGGGAACTTTAAAAACGAAAAGTCAAACCGCGAAAAAGTAAATTTGAGCCTGAACAAACTAAGACTTTTCCTGAAAAAAGCATTTAAAAAGTTATCGAGACCTATATAAGAGTGTGAACTATGTTAACTGACTCTTTAGTAACTCACTTCTGGAGGAGCTGAACTAGAAATAATTATGGGTTCTTGGTCGAGCGAATCCAAATGGCCTCTAGTCTCTACTTCAGCTACTAATAACTCCTCGTCTTCATCTTCGTCGAAGTCTTCTATCCCCTCGTGAATCTGGTCTGCACTGGCATTTCTTCGGTTTTGATGTCTTCTAGATATATTCAGACGCAGTCCTGAAGATTATAACGTATAAATAAACATATCCTGCTGCTACGCTGTTATAATAGCAATTAATGCAACCCAAATTTAACTGAAATTTGTTAGGGGGCCAGCGTAGACCTAATGCAATAAAAGATGTGATTATTTTGATTCTCCGTTTATTATGTAAAGCGTATTTTGATAAAGCCTCCCCTCTGTATTTTCAAAACAGGCGAAGCTGCACTTCGCATACACAAGCAAGATAACGGCAAATAATCTCTAAAAACGTTTGAAAAAAGTAAAGAAGGAAGGTGAAATAAGACTTGAAAATTGAAACTTCTACGGTGCCGGTATAAGAATTAGTAAGAACTTGCTACGTATCGGATTTAAACCTGCGACCTCGAGATTTCGAGTCTCACGCCCTGCCCTCTCCGCCACGAACGCAGCTACATATGCTAATAAAAAGCCAATGCGATGCAATAAAAAGGGCACCAAATGCAAATAGACACAATATCGCAAGAAATAATTAGGAACGTAACAAGCTGAAGGCATTCACACTAAATTTGCATGTATTAAACTGGAAAGCATAAAGCCATATTATGAAGAAACTGTGAGATATATTAAATCGAAAATTTTCCATTATCGAAATTTTACACAAAGACGAAGCGGAGCTAACCTTTTGCCATTAACACAATCATAAAAACCCATAACTCGAAAAAAATGTTGTTGAAAAAACTAGGTGAACCAAAAGCTTCGTTTGCATCGATGAAGGACACCTAGGGCCCAAGTGAAGGTCGAGGTAAGTGTTTTATAATTTTTGAACTTGTTATGCTGATGCAGGACGAAATGGGTTATTTCAAAAAATGGACTTTGCCCAAAACCTTAGTTGTTTTTCATTTAAGGTCAGCTGAGTGAAAATTTTAGAAATTTTTGAACTTTCCCAAACACCTAGCCTTTTTCTAACGAAAAAAGAAAGGAGTAGCCGCTTCTGCAGGAAAAATTCGTGGAACCGCTTCTTTAGATTAAAATTTTCACAGATTTAATGAGATAGTTTTTAAAAAAAAATCAAAAAAGTTTCTTTTAAATACTCCAAATTTCAAAAATCAGTAACTTTTTTTCTATTAAGCGAAAGTCGTGGCCGGTAAAGTAGATGAGATTCTCAAACTCCAGTTTCTCGATTCAACACTTCACCTGAAAATTGACGCAGTAATTTTCGTATCGAGTAAAAAACTCAAAAAATTCACTGTCTTGAGAGCCAAAACATTTTGCTAAAAAAATCTGGACGTAGCAAATTGTAAAGGTAAGCTTCCAAGATCCTGTGGTCGATTAAAACTATGATATCAGATTTGGCAGGATAGTTATCGAGAAAAGTTTAAAAAAAACTATCAACACATCAGAAAAATGACATTTCCGAGAATCTTAACACTTTTCAAAAAAATGGGCATAGCCGCTGATGCATAAGAGATTCACCCAACCTGTAATTTCGATTGAGCCCAAAAACCCAGGCTTGGCAGGTAGTTCTCGAGAAATTTCAGTCAGAAAAAGTCAAAAAATCGAAAGATCACTTTTCCGAGAGCCATAAGTTTTTGTGTCAAAAGAGTCGCGTATGCAAAGGAGCTTACCACAACACGTTCTTTGGACTGAACTTAAAATCCCAGATATGGGAAGGTATTTTTTGGTAAAATTCATAAAATTTAGAAAGAAAACGCTCAATAAATCAAAACATTGACTTTTCCTTAGGCACACGATTACTTTATGTGTAAAAAGTGGCACCTCTGATGCAGGGGAACTTCCAACAACCCGTTATCTCCATTGAACCCAAAAATTCAGATTTGGTAGGTTAGTTTTTGAGATAAGATAAAAAATATTCAAAACAGGGTTAACAATTTTTTTTTAAATGACAATTTCGAGGGCCATAATTTTATGTGCAAAAAAATCGGGCGTAGCCGCTTATGGAGGTAAAGTTTTCAAATCCATTCTATTCATTGAAAATCCATGTCTCACATTTGGTAGGTTAGTTTTTGAGAACACGAAAAAATAAATACATCAGTCAAATATTCTACCCACAGACTTATTCGAAGTCTGTGGACAAAAGGGTAAGGCAACAAGAAACGAGGGGAGTATGCAGGCACACAAGAATGTAGGCGGTCTTTCTATGGATACCCCTTTTTGAACATCGGTAGAAACGTTTTTGAAAGAAAATTTTTGCAAAAAATGATAGTATTAATTTTCCAAAGCCCAATAAAAACCAATCCAATACACTTTCATAATAATTGTTTTTATTATACAGAAATTCTAGGCAAAAAGTAGACAGAAATTCTAGCAAGACATTTGAAATTCAAATTAGCAACTCAAAATAATTTACGAAGTGGAAACAAAGTACGCTTAACGCTTACAACGCTTACAAATCGCAAGCGTACAAATCGCAACGCTTACAAATCGCAAGCGTAATTATTGTTTTCTATCAAACAAATAGCTATTTTGGTTCATTTGATGAACTAAAAATGCATCAACTGTGTTAACTTATTACATTTCGAATATCAAAGCACATGCTATCAAAAAGCCGTAAGCGTGCCACCCAAAAGACTAAGGTTGGAAAAAAAGGAAAGTTGTACTATTACACTACGCTCACTTAAGTTCGCAAGTGTAAAAATAGATGAAATTTTGCCTTGTTTTTTCAAGGTACTTTTAATATCTGAAGGCAGTTCTTTTGTTTTGCATGGCTATTGATCATTAATCGATCTATCTTATAAAAATGAAAAAAAAATCGTATTCCAAATAAATAGCACGCTAATACCATGCCAATATAGCACTACATGTGCGCGCAATTCAAACTAACTAGGATTTTACGGGAACCTGGGCAAATCTGAGACCGCACAGGATCCTGTAACAACGAAAAAAACACATTGAAGTGAAACGTAGTTATGACATATGACGCAGTTTTTTCTCAGTCATTTTTGTTCTATGCTGCATTTTTGTATAACTACGTTTCGCAGCCTCACAGTGTCTGTGAGAAAAAACTGCGCCATATTTCATAATGTTCAAAGCTTCAAGTTTTCACACAAGCGAAGCGGGGCACAATTGCGATGCAAAATAAAATGGCAAAAATAAAAAAAATGAACTCTGTTGGAGAAATCGTAAGCAAGAAAATAAGAAAATACCTTTTTGCAAATGTTATACAAAACAATATCCTACAACATAGGAAAGATTCGGACTACTTGATCTTCGTTCAATAGTTTCTCATAACCATTAGTTGGAAACGATAATAAAAAATAGACTAAAAATCGAGATCCGAAAACTCCTTAATGCTCCAAAACTTTGCCTAAATAATAGCAACCAGACAACCAGCATAACCCTACATGAAGAAATAGGGATAAAAAAAGGGACTATCCGTTATTTGCTATAAAGTGAGATCAAAATGAAAGAATAAAACGAAACTTCAAAAAAAAATAAATGCTGAAAAAAACTGCGAAGAATGAACATACATTTCTGGCGTGTATGAAAACCAGGAAAACATGATTTACATTTAAACAATTGACAAGAAAATTATTCTTAAAAAGTCTGCCAAAAATGTTACAGAATTAAGCACCCGGTAAGACAGACGACAAAAATTGGGTTGAAACCTCGAAATCATTAAAGCCGTCAAAAAAAATCAATTTATAGATAAAAGTTATTTCAGCTGTAGACTCAGTATCCTTTCAGTAGCTCTAGAACAGCTGCTAAACTACAGCTAGTAAATGTTCAACGCGCTAAAAATGGAGATCTTGCAATTGGAGATCCTGTGAACAAAATTCTTTGCAAAAAAAGGAAAAAACATTTATTCTCAAACAACGCTGAAAATTTAAATGAAAGCAAAAAAATCAACTTTCGAAATTCAGAGAAAAAGTTATCATCTAACAGCTCTTTTAATTTCCAAAATCTTGAATGGTTGGTAATTTTTTGACAAAGAGACAAACAAAGAGATGAAGGACACCTGGGGCTCAGCTAAAGCTGGAGTTACGTATTTGATATTTTTAGAATTTTTTATACTGATGTGGGACGAATTGCGTAATTTCAAAAATTAGAAGAGTGAAAACTTTTGAGATTTTCGAATTTTCCCAAAGACCTAGCCTTTGTATGACAAAAAAGTAAGGAGTAGCCGATTCTGTGGGAAAAATTCGCGCGACCGCTTCTTTCGATTGAAATTTTCATCTAAGATTTGATAGGGTAGTTTTTAAAAAAAAACCCATTCCTCGATTCGGGAAAAATAACTCATCGTAAAAACGATACCAAACCAATTTTTATTGCCTTTTTGATCGAAATTCAGCAATTCGCAGGAGTGAAATTATCATTAAAATTGAATTGAACCAAAAACATGTTGAATTGAACATGATACGAAATTAAAAAACAGACCGTAAATCAAATTTAAAAGAGTTTTTCCTGAAAAAAAAAAACAAAACCATACGACTTATGAAAATATCTTTGCTTTGCTCATTGACACTTAATAAAACTGAAAGACTCGTATTTGTTTTAAATACCGATTGGTGACTAAGATCTGGTAACTTTCACAAACTCTTTTTGTTCTCGTAGCGTCACTAGTTTCCTATTGTCAGAAAAAAAATTGATTACAACTCCCCTAGAAAAAAGATCATTCCGCTCAATAATTGATGACGACTCAATTCAAAAATCAGAATTTCATGTTCTCTCGGTTAAAAGTTTCACAAAAAAACTCTAGAAACTACTTGATAAACCCAAAATTTCATGCAAGACCTAAAAACAGTGAAATCAGAAGTGAATTAATAAATATTTGACAGCTCCAAATTAAATCAAGTAATTTCTCAGCACCCAAAAAATTAGATCTCCTCAGTCAATTTTTGAAGCTGTGTCGGCTAAAGTGGGTAAATAGTTTGCATCCCCCTCCCCATCGCCGTAGCTTCTCCGATTTAAATAGACCCTTCCGCCCAGAATCGAATTCTCCGCATCCTCTTCGCGTGCATCTAACCTCCGCCTCAACTGCACCTAAACGGACCCAAGTAGAAAATAATTTAGAGAATTCCAATTTAAAATGAACTGTGAATCTGAACATGGTTCAAGAAAGAAATCCATGCAATATCATCTTTCCTAATATCCGTAGATTTTTGTTCAAAACAGGAAACGTTGACTGGACAATTTACAGCAGTCAGCAAAATAATAACAGCTGAAAAATTAAGTCTGATATTGAAAAGTTCACTCTTTCATTTACCACTCAAAACACCAAAAAGATGCAACAGCAAGAAGTCACGAACGCAATGAAATAGAAAACTGACTTGATTTTTGAAAAACTTCAATTTACAAAGAACAAACTTAGACTTACAGCTCTTGAATTTCAAGAACAATTAATGATCGACACTTTTTTGATTAAATAAACCCCATTGAGAAAACTGGATCAATAGGTTAAGTTTATTTTCCGCTGGAAAATCTGAATATTAAATTCCCCTTTCGAAACTAGAAGTCGATCGCGTTTTTCGTGACCTTTACACTTTTGCAGTTCGATAATGGAGTTTACCTTCCTTTCAACAAAAGCAATGAAGGGAACTTTAAAAACGAAAAGTCAAACCGCGAAAAAGTAAATTTGAGCCTGAACAAACTAAGACTTTTCCTGAAAAAAAAGCATTTAAAAAGTTATCGAGACCTATATAAGAGTGTGAACTATGTTAACTGACTCTTTAGTAACTCACTTCTGGAGGAGCTGAACTAGAAATAATTATGGGTTCTTGGTCGAGAGAATCCAAATGGCCTCTAGTCTCTACTTCAGCTACTAATAACTCCTCGTCTTCATCTTCTTCGACGTCTTCTATCCCCTCGTGAACCTGGTCTGCACTGGCATTTCTTCGGTTTTGATGTCTTCTAGATATATTCAGACGCAGTCCTGAAGATTATAACGTATAAATAAACATATCCTGCTGCTACGCTGTTATAATAGCAATTAATGCAACCCAAATTTAACTGAAATTTGTTAGGGGGCCAGCGTAGACCTAATGCAATAAAAGATGTGATTATTTTGATTCTCCGTTTATTATGTAAAGCGTATTTTGATAAAGCCTCCCCTCTGTATTTTCAAAACAGGCGAAGCTGCACTTCGCATACACAAGCAAGATAACGGCAAATAATCTCTAAAAACGTTTGAAAAAAGTAAAGAAGGAAGGTGAAATAAGACTTGAAAATTGAAACTTCTACGGTGCCGGTATAAGAATTAGTAAGAACTTGCTACGTATCGGATTTAAACCTGCGACCTCGAGATTTCGAGTCTCACGCCCTGCCCTCTCCGCCACGAACGCTTATTAATCGGTAAACACAAGTCAAAAAATAAAGCAGCTACATATGCTAATAAAAAGCCAATGCGATGCAATAAAAAGGGCACCAAATGCAAATAGACACAATATCGCAAGAAATAATTAGGAACATAACAAGCTGAAGGCATTCACACTAAATTTGCATGTATTAAATTAGAAAGCATAAAGCCATATTATGAAGAAATAAAGCATTTCAAAAAACTGCGAGATATATTAAATCGAAAATTTTCCATTATCGAAATTTTACACAAAGACTTTGCCCAAAACCTTAGTTGTTTTTCATTTAAGGTCAGCAGAGTGAAAATTTTAGAAATTTTTGAACTTTCCCAAACACCTAGCCTTTTTCTAACGAAAAAGTAAGGAGTAGCCGCTTCTGCAGGAAAAATTCGTGCAATCTCTTCTTAAGATTAAAATTTTCACAGATTTAATAGGGTAGTTTTAAAAAAAAAATCAAAAAAGTTTCTTTTAAATACTCAAAGTTCAAAAATTAGTAACTTTTTTTTCTGCTAAACGAAAGTCGTGGCCGGTAAATTAGATAAGATTCTCAAAATCCAGTTTCTCGCTTCAACAATTCACCAGAAAATAGACGCGGTAATTTTCGTATGAAGTAAAAAACTTCCCAAAAACAGTCAAAGTTTCAAAAAACTCAGTCTTGAGAGCCATAAATTTTTGCTATAAGAAACGGTAAGCTTCCATGAGCCTGTGGTCGATTAAACCTATGATATCAGATTTGGCAGAAAAAGTATGGAAAATTCATCGAATCGTGTTTCTCGATTGAAAACTTAACCTGAGAAATGGCAAGTAATTTTTGAATCGAGGAAAGAAATTTCCAAAAAATGGTCCAATTTTCAAAAAAAATTTCCCTTGTTCAAGGGCCATAACTTTCTCTAGAAGAAACATGGCGTAGCAAATTATAAAGGTAAGATTCCAATAACCTGTTGGGTCGATTAAACCTGTTATATCAGTTCTGGCAGGGCAGGATAGTTATCTAGAAAAGACGAAAAAACGGTCAAAAAATCAGAGAGTTGACAATTCCGAAAACCATAACTTTTGGTTTGAGAAAAATTGGGCGTAACCACTTCTATAGAAGAGATTCACCACAATCTGTTATTTCAATTGAACTCAAAAACCTAGGTTTGGCCGAGTAGTTCTCGAGAAAAGTAGAAAAGTTTCAAAAAAACAGTCAAAAAAATCAAAATTTTGACTTTCCCGAGGGCCATAATTTTATTTTATATCGTTCTTCGGATTGAACCCAACATTTCCCACATAGACGGGTATTTTTGGTTAAACTCACACAGAGGCGAAGCTAAGCTTAGCACCACTTGCGATACAAAATAAGAAAGCCGCTAACTCGAAAAAAAATTCGAAAATTTCGAAAAAACCTGATCTATCGATAAGGCTAGTTTTGAAACAAAAACGAGCCAAGTCAAAAGATAGTAAAACTAGCATAAAAAGAAAAGTTACCAAGCCGTAACAAAACCGGAAAACCCTTAGCAGATACCCAGCTGGCCGAAAAAAAATTTAAACTATCAAGTCCCAACACCCTCAAACAAACAAACAAACAAACCAAGACAGACACCAAATTCATTCACGCGTCAAAGGAAACAATATGCGGCCAAAATGTCGATATAACATTGGCCGAAACCTATTAAGCCGACAATAAAAGAAAAAATAAAAAAAAACAAAGCGAAAAAAATTTAAAGACTAATAAAACGTTAACTCAAGAAACATACACAGCTCGTGAAACGACGCAATATGAGGCGACTAAGCCGATGTAATATAGGCCGACCTAACAATCCTAAAAAAGAAAATTCAAAAGCACAAATTCTTTCGCCCATCTAAAGGCGCAATATGCAGCCATTCAACCGATGTAATATAGGCCGAAAAAAGCCGAAAACAAAAGACAAACTTCAACTTTATTTTCTATTAAGATTTTAAGCATTTTGTGCGATCCAGAGGTAAGCATAAAAATTAGGTTTTCCTTGGAACTACTAAAAATTAGGGCACTAAGCCGAAGCATATTAATCCAAAAAAGGACAAAAAAAATTACACAGAGACGAAGCACTACTTTCGATACAACTCAAATATAAAAGATTGGAAAAAAAAATAATTTAAAAAATTAGGAGAACCAAAACGTTCGTATGTCTCGATAAAAAACAACTAGGGACCCCAGTTAAAGCTGGATGTGCGTGTTTGGAACTGAATGAATTTGTATACTGATGCAGCACGAAAAATATGATTACAAAAAATTTGTCCAAAACCTTAGATGTTTCTCTACTAAAAACATAGCCAATTGACAGTTGGAAAAAAATGAACGCAAGTAAACAGAAAAAAAATACTGACTACGTTGAAAAAATCTAAACTTTCGGATATCAAAGAAAAAATAGATTCCCTTCAAGCTATTTGAATTTCCAGAACAATATTTTTTATTCCATTGGAAATCTAGAACAATATTTTTCCAGAACAATATTTTTTATTCCATTGGTATATAAGTTTTTATTCCATTGGAAATCTAAAAATTAAATTCCACTTACGAAACTAAAAATTGTTCACATTTTTTCGCGCCATTTCCACGTTCATAATTGGAGAGTGCTATTTACGTAACTTTCAGCAGATGAATTTCGATTAAACTCAAAAAAAGCATATATACCTGAGTGCATTCATAAATGCATACACATATATGAATGCACATCTGTATTTATTAGGGCATTTTAAGACTTTTTCCTGCAAAAAAAAAACAAAAAAAATCAAGAATACCTACATAAGTCTTCACTACGTTCCTTATTCTTAATAAGTGAGAAGAGTATAAAAATTGATAATATCGATTTTCCCAAGGAGATAACATTTCTCTTACAACAAAATTAGGAGTCGCAAATTTGACATTTCCAAGAATCATTTGACATTTCAGAGAATCATAGCGTTCTGTGTGAAAAAAAGAGAGTAGCCGCTTATGCAGAAGCGATTCACGCAACATTAAATTTCGATTGAACCCAAAATGTCAGATTTGGAATGGTAGTTCTCGAGAGAAGTCAACAACTTTTAGAAAACGATGAAAAAGCAAAACTTTGAACTTTCCGAATGGCATGAGTTTCGATGTCAGAAAAATTTGGGCGCAGTCGCATAAACAATTTAGCTTCCCGCAACACATTATTCGACTTGAACCCAAAATCTCATATATGGCAGGGTAGTTTTCGAGAATATTCAATAAGTTTGAGAAGCGGTAAAAAAAATCAAACATTTGACTATTCCGAGGGCCATAAATTTATGCGTTAAAAAATTTTGAGCGTAGCCGTTAAAGCAGGGAGCTTTTCAAAGCCGTATTATTCTTGAGAAAAAAGTCTACATTCCAGTTGATAACGCTTGCTACTCGCAAGCGTAAACATTTTGAAAAAAAAAACGCTCAAAAAATCGAATTTTCCGAGAACGATAACTTTTTTGTGTAAAAATTGTGAGTGGCACTTTTACTGCAGGGAGCTTCACACTACCCGTTATATCCATTGAACCAACAACGTCAAATTTCGAAGGTTAGTTTTTGAGAAAAATAAGAAAAAAAATTTTTAGAAAACGGTAAAAAAAAATCAAAAATTTGAATAATTCCGAGGGCCATAATTTTATGTGCAAAAAACACTTGGGCATAACAACTTATTCGGAGGAGGTTCTCAATTCCGTCTGTTCATTGAAACCTAAGTATCAGTTTTGGTAGGTTAGCTTTTGAGAAAACGAAAAAAATATATATCGGTCAAATATTCCCCCACAGACGTTTTCGAAGGCTGTAGACAAAAGGGAAAGCAAAAAAGAGATCAGGGGAGTATGCAGGCACACAAGAACATAGACGGTCTTTCAATATATCCCCCTTTTTTGAAATTCGATAGAGTTTTTGGGGAAAAAATATATTTTTGCAAGAAGTATTAAAATTTTCCAAAGCGTCTCAAAAAAAGCGTCACTAAAAAACCATTCAACTTTCTTAATACCTGTTTTTATCAAACAAGAAACCAAGGAAAACATGCCAAGCAAGACAATTGAAATTCAAATTAGCAACTGGACAAAACAAGGCGGACAATCTTTGAGCAGACAGCAGCTGAACCGAAAAAAAAACTTACTATGTTAAAAACTTTTTAAAAGTTTCAAGTTCCCCCTGAAACCACCCTGTAGTAACTAGCACACTGCCAGTAGTTAAATTTGAATTTTCATGAAACAGCATGTCAGATCAAGAGCATGTCAAGTGATTCAACTAATTATGTTCAACTAGCTTTTAACTAGAAAAAAGCCTACATTCCAGTTCAATAACGCTTGCTAATCGCAAACGGAAAAAAACGAATTTCTTCAAAATTCCGTCCGTTCTAAGAGAACTAAGGCAAAAAAATAAGCAGACAGACGCTTGCCTGAAAAAGAAAACTTTCAGTTTGCTTAAAAAAACAAGTCCCGACGGGAAGGGAACTCCCGGCCTTTGTCGTATGAAGCAAGGTTGCTACCACTGTCAATAAAGGATCCACGAGTGCTAAATTGGTACTTTATGCAAGGTGGAATAAACAGTTACAAAACTAAACAGACAGAACTTACTTCGACAGACAACCATGAAGTCGAAAAACCATCAGCAAGAAAAACTGAAACCAAAATTCTACAATTCTAAATAATATGGCTAGAATTGTAGATATAGAAACTAACACTATTAGCCAGAAAAGAATATGAGTATGACAGCATTCAATAATTTGAGCATGCACAAATGCTTCGAATGGTTTGGTAAAACAAGTTGTTAACCTGAAAAAAAAGAATAAATTCCAATTTGATAACGCGTTATTGTCGCAAGCGTAATAAAACTACTTTAGTATATATAAATTATAGTTGACAGATAATGAGCAAAATTAAGTTACTCCTGGCAAATTTTTAGTTAGCAGATATTACAAGCCCTGGTCAGGTTAATTAACCGGAGCTTTCTCGAAGCATAGGCGCTCTCTGTCAATCATCAGGCTTAACCTGTAGATCGAACTTAAATTCATCATCGAGGTTGAGAGTTTTTACATCCAATTTCAGGTGCCTTATAAAAAGCTTGCAGGAGGGCCAGTATGTTATCATATTAAAGTTCAACTAGTCTTAATTTCGAAAAATTAAAATGCTTCATTATCGAGGAAATTTCGAAGTCTGGAGTTGTTGAAATTTTTTCAGACGTATTTCACTTGTTATTAGGTTAAGCTTTAAAACGTAAACTAACTGTCATATGCTTGGAAGTCGAGATATGATGGCATGATGGTGGAGTGTCTGAATCTGAAGAAGGAGATTGTGAGGAGAGGGAACAACAGGGAGAAGAGGAGGGAAATTGAGGCCACACACACTGACACGGGGTAGAAGTAGAGCCAGAAGCGCACACCTGCAACATGCAAACGCCAAGTTAGGGCCTATTCTCATGCGCGAAGGAACGCATGCACAAAAACACTGAACCAATGAGCGCCCTTTAAAATGTCCAAAACTGACTGAATTTATAAGTTAGGTCGACAATTCGTAACAAGTGACAATTCGCAAAAATCCATTGCAAGTAGAATACGCTTGCTCCTCTGCGCTTACATCCGGCACGAGAGGCATTTTGCGCGTGAATCAGTGTTCCACTTTGAATCTACTGCTACGCACTGTTGCTTGTTAGCAATTGTCGCCTGTTACGAATTGTCGCCTCACGAATTCATAGCTTATTTTTATCAAACTTTTCAATACTAAGCTCTGACAGCCGGAGATAGCACCATTAAGACCATCAGAACCATTTTCCAGTGTCTTCCTATTTATTTACAAATGTATCCAAAAAAATAACACTTAATTCCAATTACTTGCCTTGAAGGAAAAACTAAAAGCCGTAATAGTTCAGATGAAACGTTTTCGTATTTCTGTTCATCGTAATATTTTGCGTTTTGATACATCAGACTAAAATAGCAAATTTATTTGATTTTATAAAAAAATTGCGCCGATAAGTCTCGCAAACTTCGTTTCGCAGTTCTATTTAACTATCTTTTCTGTCAAGGTTGCGCACATGCGATTCAAACAAGAGGCTAGTTTTGAGCTTTTCAAAAAGATATGCACTACCTCTGAATTTTGCCATTCCCATGAAGCTGGCTGACGTCACAATTACGTCACGTGACTCTAGAGTGATTGAGGCTGAGTTGAGGTCATTACTCGGGGAAGTTATGAGACCCAAATCCACAAACACTGTCTGAGATTGCTTTCTGTAACCTATCAATAGTGATGTCCAATCTTATCATTTTCGAATAAACCATTTAAGTTTATTAGATTTGAGCTTTCTCAAAAAAACGACAAGCGAAAATAATCAGTTACTGGTCAACTAGCATTTTATGTTTCAGCTAAAGACACTGGCTTTATAGATGAAATTTCTTGCTAAAATTTTTCGAAAAGTTAGGCAATGTTTTCTAGAAAAAACAGCATTATTTACCGAAAAAAATTGAAATAGTTAAAAAACTCCAGCTGAAGGTTTTTTATTTAAAAAAAAACATTTATTTCATATTGGCGGCTTCAAAATGTACATCACTGCCTAGGAGGTAGAGTGGAAATAAGACGACAGTCTCCATCGTGTAGAACAGGTCTGACTTGTACTGCATGGCTGCTGCTCTTCTGATGTTGAAAACCTCCCTCGACTTCTCCTGAAATCATTTGAGAATCACTAAAGAAAATATCATTGAAAATCAATCATTACACAGAGGCGAAGCGGGGCATCGCACCATTTGCGATAAAACATAAAAATATCAGTGCAAGCTAGCAGACAGGAAAAGAAATAATTCAAAACGTTGTCTGAAATCATGTTCTCTTTGCGGAAAACGCGTCCAAAAACACAAACACGTCAATTAAAGAAAATTCAAAAAAATAATACATCCCTCGACTTCTCAAAAAATCATTAGACAAGCGGTAACTGAGCCGACGTAACATAATTAATTTCCCGTAGAACCGAAAATATAATGGTTGTCATGAAAAACTTTGAACTATATTTTCAACTCTCAGAAATTAGCATTTTAACAACTTTAACTAACTTATTCTTCCTTTTAAATGACCCAAAACTAGGTCATTAAGTCAATAAACTATAAGCCGAAATCTTTTAATCCGAATAAAGTTTTTAAGGAAAAAAGGACAAAAACAGCATAAGATACGAAGGCAAGGCTAGTAAATAGCAGGGGTAAAACATAACGCTAAAATCAACTACAACGAAAGTTGCGTACAAAAAAATCGACTCTAGGATGTGGCAACTAAGCCGACAAAACGTAAGCTGATAAACTATAGGCCGACAATTTTTTAGAAAGGAATATTTCCAGATAAAAAAAACAGTTTCTGGTCAGATTCTATCCCACGACCTTTGCCGTCCCAGGTGTAACCTTCACCTCCAGCCTAAGAGCCAGACATGGATAGAGGTCTGAATTCCATATGAAACAAGATACAAGTGTTTCTTTCAAACAAGTTAATAAACCAAAAATAAAAAACAAAAAAAATCTTCATTGAACAAAAACTTTCTAAAATGCATAGAAATATTGAAAATAAATTCGTCCGCTGCCAACGTGGGTACTGTGCAAGCAGCACATGAAATTAGCGAAAAACAACTATAGAACCAGTTAACAAAAAAAACGAGAAAAACAATGTCCTAAAAACCTCAATCACCAAAAAAACTTCCTGTTGTTTGAATGATGCTCATTTTGAGGAAAACATGTCCAGCAATACGATGTCAGAAACCTCCAACCACATTTATAGCAAAAAAAACGTATTTTTGTAGATAAATTCTTCGGGTGAAGCAGAGGAACTCATGCTGCGAAAGTTTCTCAGCAACACTTCACTCGGCAATAAGCATTTCTTCAGTAGAGCGCGTTTATTTAACTTGGTTGCGTCTGCCTTTGAAATAATAATCATAAATCTGATTCTTTTTTGGTGGCGAAGTTACGGGTCCAATGGTGTCGCTTTCCAGGGGGTGGACCCTACGCGCGATAAATGCCGCGGCAAATGGCACCAAAACTTCCTCCCGTGATTGTGAACACAGAAAGCATGCTAAAACCGCCTTTTCGGTGACGGAGCATCCAAAGTCGGCAAGCCTGCTTGATCTATATATCCTCATCCACATTTTAGGTGAAAGTATCATTCCAAATCTTGGCCCCTGTATCTACCGTTCTAGTATCACAAAAATCTTTCCCACTCAACAAAGTGTATGTTGGCACAGCGCGGTTTTTTCATAAGACAAAAAAACCTCACCAATAAAACCGCAATCACTCCCTAGGCCCAAAAAATACCACTATAGGACATGAATGCCTTCGAGAGGGAGGTCGACTATTTACGACCGTACACAAGTCACTTGTCTACGAAGAGCTGCAAGCAGTGGAATTGTTATAATTTTTAATTCGCCGCGTAGTAGCTGTCCAAGACTATTAGGCTTGCGAAACTCAGCTGCTCGCGGAAGACGATGCAATTGTTTGAGACGCAAAAGCCCACTCACCTCTGGTATTCAAATATTCAGGAGGATAGCAGAAGCGCCTCTTTATATGCAAAAGTCACCTCTATAGGTGCCTCTTTATGTGCAGAAAACAGAGGCACCTCTTTAGGTGCAGAAAACAGAGGCGCCTCATCAGCTGCAGAAACTGCAAACTCTGATTTACCACTTTGAACAACCAAACTCAAACTCGTTTACCGTTCAAAGTAAGTAAGTTCATTTCAAGTAAGTAAACCGTTCATTTTAATAAGTCTCGCTCTGACGGAGGATATTCCATTAACTGTCAAAAATATATATTCAATTTTAACAAGGCAAACTGGGACGAGCTCACTGAAAAAAAAATAAGTAACTCTCTAGAATTGTTTCGATGAAAGACGTCAGGGTCGTCAAAAACGTTTAGAAAACACATTTCTAAAGACTGCCGGCGCCATATTCCAGCAAGACATGTCCGCAAAACTCTGCCCCTTGTCCACTTTTTGATTTTTATGTGCATGATGCACCCAACACTCTCCCCAGAGGTCAAACTCCATTCTTATTCCGTTCGTTTTCACCACTTCGTCCAATCACGCGATGTAAAATATGCCTCTGTTACTTAAAGTAACCATGTAAACAAATAGCACGACTTTTTTTTAACTCTGATCCCACGGGTAAAAGGTGTGAAACACTATTGCTGGTCGTAACGCAATCCAAAATACTTGGTACTTTTATCGACCCTTGCCTCAAATTTGCCGAACACTGCAAACGCACAGCAAGTCAAGCTATGCGCAGGATATCTGTCCTGAAGGAGCAGTCTGCTTCAAACTGGGGTCCGTCGGAAAATGATTTAACTATTACATACAAAAAACCTAAATAAAATCAACCCTCGACTATGCCTGTATAGCTTGGTCTCACCATGCGAGTGATAAATCCATTAGTAAAAATGACAATAGTGCAAAATGCAGCTCCACAGACAGTGACTGAGTGTACTAAAATGAGCTCTATTGACCACCTACATTCAGAGTGCAAACTACTTAATATCAAAAATCAACACGAACTTCTTGCCTCCCTATTCCTTCTCAGAACATACTTGCTATTAAGCCCCCTCCCTTTTAACTTAACTCACCCTCGGCCGCCCCAGCAGCAACGCATGAACATTTTATACACTTATAAAGAGGAGCTTCAGAAAATTTAATTAGAAGCAACTCTTTGAACGATTTTAACCACCTAAGACCCAACAGCAACTTTAAACACAGAGGCAAAGCTTCGCTTCGCAAACACATGCAAGAACACTCGCAAGTGTTTGCAGAAAAGGCAGCTCTATGAAGTGCAATAAGAAAAATTAGAAATAAGCCTCGAATTGGTAAAAATTCGGCAACCTTTGAGATTCGAACCTGCAACTTAGAGATTAAGAGTCTCACACACCAACCACTCAGCCTCGGGAGCTTAATAGACAATTAACACTAGCTACAAATAAACAGAGAACAAATGCTATGCAATTTCCAATGCTACATTAAAATTTCCGAATAATTGAACATTTTTATTTGCGAGTAAGGCTAGAAAAAAAAGAAGGTTCGTAATAACACACAAAGCTGATCACAAGTGTAAATTCTTTGAAAAATATTTTCACAGCAACCGAAAATGGCAAAGCCGTAGACGAAGCCCCCCCCCCCCGCCCATAGTTCTCCTTCTCCCCTTAAGGCCCGAAAAATTTCAAAAAGTGAACAGACCATCCCACCCTCGACTTGTCGCACCCTCGCCCAAATAAGATCAAGATACAGCCCTTGCCTAAAAATTTATGAATAGGATAGAACCAAATGTCCCACCAAACTAATCATTTTTTCCTACTCCACACACTGCGTTACATCTATTTAACTGTCCACAAAATAGAACACACATGGACCCCAATAGACCCCAAGTGGCTTTAACTGACGGAGGTCGCAACATTCCTAAAACAGGTCGAGAGCATACTGGACGCATTCAAAACTACGGGCTATTGAAAAGAACAAAACCAGAATACGCTTCCTGGCTAAGTGAAGCCATTTTATGGTACCAGAAATTGCAAGTGAAAAAAAAAACCTGCGACTCAGCTACATCTTTGTCGGAGCATGGTCGGAACAAGCTATTATTAGATAACTTACAAACTATAATGAGCTTTTTTCTCATCTGAAATGAAAATCAAAAATTGGCGACAGAAATTGACGATGCAGTTGACTTCAAAAACACATGGGCGAAACTTGGGAAGTCAAATCCATTCGCTGAAAAAATACAGAAAAGAAAAACGCTCGAAAAAAACTGAAATAAACCAAAATGTATGCTTGAATATAGTTGAATCTGTTTTCTACCCTGATGGAAGCGACTGCCATGAACACTCCCACTCGTCTGTTCACTTCACTCTCTGGCATTTCCAGCTGCAACATGAGATGGTACTGCTGTCCCTGTACCAGATACTCCTCCAGACTCTCATTGTGCAACAAGCTAGAAAAGGGTCATTTCAGACACACTCAGCCAGTAACAATCAATGTAACAACCACATATTAACTGTAAATGGTAAATCTAGAACCAAACAGGGATAGCCGGTTTCTGTGCAAGTAGCACAGAATGTTCCGACCATAGTCAAATGAAAAAAAAAATTTCAAATTAGAGTCGTTTTTTCTGCTAGTTGAGATAAAATTTCGCGAGATAAAGTTTCTTAAATAGGCCTGCTCGCTCGCTTTTTTTTGTACGAAATTGACCTAAAACTCGAGCCGGTTTTCCTCGACACTGGGTCAACTTTTTGGAAATTTTTTAATGTCGCATGAATCATGGCTTAAAGGGCTTCATAATGATATATTATTCCACCCATTAAATGCTTTTGGTTGAAAAACAAGAAAAACCTGCTCACTCGCTCGAAAATAGACCAAAAATAGAATAATTAAAACCGGTTTTTCTCAACACGGAAAAATTTAGTAAATATTTAAAAGTCGTTCCAATCATGACTAAGAGGGCTTTAATATGATATACCTTTCAAAACAGCCCCATGATTTTTTGTAGTACTTAGTGGATGGAATGTTTGCTGTTGATTTACATAACTAATAAAAAGTTGCATATCCTTTTTGTTGCAGTTGCCTGGTCGAGGTGCAACGCGTAAAGTTTCGTCGTTTTGGTCGAATTTCGTTATATAAGGTCTTCGTTTTCGCATGGAATTATTAGCGCGTTATTTCAGTACTTTTTCAGAGAAGCTTGATTTCTTAGTTTGGCTAAGTTTTCAGTACTTCCAGCGGAATTTCAATTGCGTGGTCTCGCCCAAATCGCACTTTGCCTCTGGGAAAAGGGTCCTTTCGATTCCAGTAACTGAGAAGTCAAGTGATTCTGGTTGCGGCGTCACCAAGCAGTCAAACGGGGAAAATACAGCAAAGCTATGGTTGTGGTGTCTTATTTTGTATGCATCGATCTGCGGGAAACCAGGCAGAGGAACAGTTTGGTTTCACAGCCGAAGCTTCGAGCCAGTGTTGAGTCGACACTGGTCATCAGGAGCGAGCTCGACTGATGTTCTTGATGGCTGATCCAATCTGAAGAGGGCTGAAGCCTCGACAGGATTGGTCCAGATTGCGAAGGTAGTAGCGTTTGGGGGACATTGGAAGTGTTGGTTGGTATCGTGTTGGGTGTTGAAGCACTTTGGACCTTGGTTGGGGACACTTTGATCAAGTCTTTGAGGTAGGAATAAACTAGGGGGAGTAGCCGGTGCGTAGTTGAGCTAGGCTAGATCGGGCCTTCCGACTCAGTGATAGTTCAGGTGAAGAGATTAGTGAAGTGTTTTCGGTATAATAGATATGGGAACGGTTTCAAGGTAGTTGGAAACCGCTCTTGTGTGGAGTACTTTGCGTATGTTGAGTTTGGTTCCCTTGTTGATGTACTCGTAAGTATCGTTCAGGCTAGTCAGAAGACCTGCATTCAGGCATTTAAAAGAGGTTTTCATTTGTCTAGGTGGTTGGTAGGATCGAGTATTGCTATTCCGGTGTGGTTGTGCCGATGGCATCTAGCATAATATTGGGAAAAGAGTAGGTTTATGAAAAGGCAATCAAAATGTACGTGTTCGATTTTGGTCATTTTAATGCATCCAGTTACAGTGCGGAGTGCGGCCATTTGTACAATTTATAGACTTTGGATAAAGTAAGGCTTGTTGTATGTGACCACGCTGGCGCAGCGTATTCTAGGACTGGTCTAACTATAGCTTTGTGCCTAATTAGAAGCGTTTTCTTACTTTGGTCCCAGTTGGTACCGGCTAGCGCTTTTAGGTCGGCTACATTCTTGCGTTTGCTAGTTTGACTCTTGCAGCGTAGTGCGTATTTCATGAATGGGTCTAAGGTTCTGACTACTACGATTTAAAGGTTGCGGTCCAGTGGGAGCAGAGTGTTCTGGATTTTGATTTGGTGGTGAGTTTTGAAGCCTTTTGAGTCAGGTGAGAAAAGGTTTAATGAGCAATTGGAGGAGGAGAGTTCCAAGTTGAGACTGTCGAAGACTGACTAGGTAAGCGGAGACAGAAGATATAGTTTTGATATTAGAGGCGTGGCTGTAGAATTGAAGTCGTCCGCGTAAGATATAAAGGACAAACTTTTGGGTGGAGAGGGGGAATCGCGGTTATAGTAGTTAAAAAATGTTGCGTTTCTGAATACTTTAACATCGCTAGGTTCCTCTTTATGAGAGAGTACCTCATCTATTTCAGTTGCGAAGTCATCAATATCAGCTTTATTGAGGTTGGAGGGTTTTCTTGGCGGCGAGTTGAGTGGCAGAGTTAGAGTCGATTGAGATGAAGATGGGTAGGTGGTGTGAGCTAAGACTAAATTGTAAGCTCAATGGCAGGATAGGTCGTTAGTCTGTGATAAGAGGGAGATGGTAGGGGACGAGGTTTATTGTGAAGTGGGTGAGCAACTTCGTTGCTCAAGGGGACGAGGTTTATTGTGAAGTGGGTGAGCAACTGGGTGAGCAACTTCGATTTCTTAGTTTGGCTAAGTTTTCAGTACTTCCAGCGGAATTTCAATTGCGTGGTCTCGCCCAAATCGCACTTTGCCTCTGGGAAAAGGGTCCTTTCGATTCCAGTAACTGAGAAGTCAAGTGATTCTGGTTGCGGCGTCACCAAGCAGTCAAACGGGGAAAATACAGCAAAGCTATGGTTGTGGTGTCTTATTTTGTATGCATCGATCTGCGGGAAACCAGGCAGAGGAACAGTTTGGTTTCACAGCCGAAGCTTCGAGCCAGTGTTGAGTCGACACTGGTCATCAGGAGCGAGCTCGACTGATGTTCTTGATGGCTGATCCAATCTGAAGAGGGCTGAAGCCTCGACAGGATTGGTCCAGATTGCGAAGGTAGTAGCGTTTGGGGGACATTGGAAGTGTTGGTTGGTATCGTGTTGGGTGTTGAAGCACTTTGGACCTTGGTTGGGGACACTTTGATCAAGTCTTTGAGGTAGGAATAAACTAGGGGGAGTAGCCGGTGCGTAGTTGAGCTAGGCTAGATCGGGCCTTCCGACTCAGTGATAGTTCAGGTGAAGAGATTAGTGAAGTGTTTTCGGTATAATAGATATGGGAACGGTTTCAAGGTAGTTGGAAACCGCTCTTGTGTGGAGTACTTTGCGTATGTTGAGTTTGGTTCCCTTGTTGATGTACTCGTAAGTATCGTTCAGGCTAGTCAGAAGACCTGCATTCAGGCATTTAAAAGAGGTTTTCATTTGTCTGGGGGGTTGGTAGGATCGAGTATTGCTATTCCGGTGTGGTTGTGCCGATGGCATCTAGCATAATATTGGGAAAAGAGTAGGTTTATGAAAAGGCAATCAAAATGTACGTGTTCGATTTTGGTCATTTTAATGCATCCAGTTACAGTGCGGAGTGCGGCCATTTGTACAATTTATAGACTTTGGATAAAGTAAGGCTTGTTGTATATGACCACGCTGGCGCAGCGTATTCTAGGACTGGTCTAACTATAGCTTTGTGCCTAACTAGAAGCGTTTTCTTACTTTGGTCCCAGTTGGTACCGGCTAGCGCTTTTAGGTCGGCTACATTCTTGCGTTTGCTAGTTTGACTCTTGCAGCGTAGTGCGTATTTCATGAATGGGTCTAAGGTTCTGACTACTACGATTTAAAGGATGCGGTCCAGTGGGAGCAGAGTGTTCTGGATTTTGATTTGGTGGTGAGTTTTGAAGCCTTTTGAGTCAGGTGAGAAAAGGTTTAATGAGCAATTGGAGGAGGAGAGTTCCAAGTTGAGACTGTCGAAGACTGACTAGGTAAGCGGAGACAGAAGATATAGTTTTGATATTAAAGGCGTGGCTGTAGAATTGAAGTCGTCCGCGTAAGATATAAAGGACAAACTTTTGGGTGGAGAGGGGGAATCGCGGTTATAGTAGTTAAAAAATGTTGCGTTTCTGAAGACTTTAACATCGCTAGGTTCCTCTTTATGAGAGAGTACCTCATCTATTTCAGTTGCGAATTCATCCATATCAGCTTTATTGAGGTTGGAAAGTTTTTTTGGCGGCGAGTTGAGTGGCAGAGTTAGAGTCAATTGAGATGAAGATGAAGATGGGTAGGTGGTGTGAGCTAAGACTAAATTGTAAGCTCAATGGCAGGATAGGTCGTTAGTCTGTGATAAGAGGGAGATGGTAGGGGACGAGGTTTATTGTGAAGTGGGTGAGCAACTTCGTTGCTCAAGGGGACGAGGTTTATTGTGAAGTGGGTGAGCAACTGGGTGAGCAACTTCGATTTCTTAGTTTGGCTAAGTTTTCAGTACTTCCAGCGGAATTTCAATTGCGTGGTCTCGCCCAAATCGCACTTTGCCTCTGGGAAAAGGGTCCTTTCGATTCCAGTAACTGAGAAGTCAAGTGATTCTGGTTGCGGCGTCACCAAGCAGTCAAACGGGGAAAATACAGCAAAGCTATGGTTGTGGTGTCTTATTTTGTATGCATCGATCTGCGGGAAACCAGGCAGAGGAACAGTTTGGTTTCACAGCCGAAGCTTCGAGCCAGTGTTGAGTCGACACTGGTCATCAGGAGCGAGCTCGACTGATGTTCTTGATGGCTGATCCAATCTGAAGAGGGCTGAAGCCTCGACAGGATTGGTCCAGATTGCGAAGGTAGTAGCGTTTGGGGGACATTGGAAGTGTTGGTTGGTATCGTGTTGGGTGTTGAAGCACTTTGGACCTTGGTTGGGGACACTTTGATCAAGTCTTTGAGGTAGGAATAAACTAGGGGGAGTAGCCGGTGCGTAGTTGAGCTAGGCTAGATCGGGCCTTCCGACTCAGTGATAGTTCAGGTGAAGAGATTAGTGAAGTGTTTTCGGTATAATAGATATGGGAACGGTTTCAAGGTAGTTGGAAACCGCTCTTGTGTGGAGTACTTTGCGTATGTTGAGTTTGGTTCCCTTGTTGATGTACTCGTAAGTATCGTTCAGGCTAGTCAGAAGACCTGCATTCAGGCATTTAAAAGAGGTTTTCATTTGTCTGGGGGGTTGG